CACTGATTTTTTCCGTAGTTCGATCATATGCTTCCCTTTATGTCCAAATTCTAGAAAAATCCTACAAACTGTTTTGGAGTATTATTCACATTTAAAGTTTAACCCTTATTTACACTGAAGAGATTCAATTGTTGAACTTTTAACTTACATCAACCTTCCTCTTTTTATTCTTCAGTGAATAAACATGTGATTAACAATTGGAACTTTTAATACCTTCAGAATCCAGTACGTCAATCATATTATTTGTGTTATTTTAAGGGGAAAAGTATTTTCACATTTTAAAAAATTGTTAGTATGTCAGAGGAGTTGCACTTCTTTAAAAATCTGATTCATTTACAAATAAAGTTTGATATTTATGACTGTCTGCCATATTAAAGACAAAGGCTTATAATCAATATCCAGCAAAATCATAGCAGATGTCCATTAAAGATAAGGCATTAAAATAGCTTTTAAAACAGCCACAAAAATTAATTAAATTTTTTTCTACAATTCTATATTTGAAATTTTGCCAACTAATTACTATCATTAGAATCCCTTACTACTTTAAATAACACAGGCTTATATGCAACAAATTCAACACATGAATTAATATTTTTCTATGCATTTTACTATATTTTATACAATAGAAATTTAAAACAGGGAAAGACAGAGTTTGAATCTCATTTACAGATGTCTGTTCATAATGTCCTCTATTTTATAATTTATAAGAAAGTGCTTTAAATCATATTATTGAATATAATTTATTTAACAAATGATGAGGGTTCCATACCTCACAGATAAAAATTCAGTACTTTTTTTTTTTTTTTAAAGTTTTGGAAATCGAGAAGTCCCATCATTTATTTTCTTTGATTTGTATGTTAAAATACTGAACATAACTTGGAATTTTTCTTTTACTACTTAAACACCTAATTTGAATTTTTACAAAGAATGCTGAATTTGGCCTACATCTACATTATTTTGTTCTCTTATAACATCACAAAAAATTGATATTTCCACAATAATGGTTTAATTTGTTAGATCATAGCAAAGTGGTCGAGAGCTATCTGCCTATGCAGCCAGCCTGTTTGCAGGGATTTGAACCTTGGACCGAACTACCAGTGTCAGTGACTTTACTGCTCGACTGCTGGTGGGCTTTCACAATAATGGAAATTTCACCTAACACTACTTTGGACAAAAAGTCGCACATCTCGAAAACCACTCGTTTAGAGGGAAAAACACAAGAAGATTTAACTGAATTTGAAGGGTGTAACGAATAATAATTAGTAACACCTTTCCCATTAGTGACATCCTCCCACATAAAAATAATATACTATCTTTTCGCTTTGATTATGACATAAGCGAACAATCACAATTTTTGAGTTGTGCCGATTTTCTTCGACAATGGTCATAGAGGTAGAAAAAGTGAGTATATCACTCACATTTATCTGAGACAGCAAATGAAATGAGGCAGAAAGAAACCTTAGATGAGTGTAGATCTTGAATAAAACCATATTGATTTTGAAAACAATCAGACACATGTCTCTCTTCAGGAGCAAAAAATTTTATGCACATGAAGAAAAGGGAACTATGTCTGATTGCCTTCAAAATCAATAGTATTTATTCAAAATCCCCGACAATCGAAGGTTGACTTCTTTTTTGTCTAATTTAAAATTTTGGGCTTCTCTTCCAGATTGAAATGAAATGTGATTCAGGGACAATACCACCATTACTACATTCATACAATGAATTAAGATTACCTACAAGCAATGACAATTTTCAGTTACATACATAAAACAAAATTAAAAGACATATTTAAAGACAATTATGAGAAAATAATTCTTAATTTTTTCAAATATATGGAATCCTATAATATACTATATTTCAAGTTCTTAAAGTTTCATCAAACGTCACTTTGAAAATACTGTTCTAGACTATTAAAATGCTCCTGAACACACTTTACAAACCTCCTGTATATTAAAATATTACTTCTATAGAGTGATTTTGAAAATTCCATCTCATAAATACAAGATTATGTAATAATTTTGTCATTTCAAAATAAATACATGTTCACTTTCTACGTATGGGAAAATATAGGTAAATCTAAGTTTAGTATATTCTAAAAAAATTTATATTTCAGTGAACTTACAATATGTAATAATGTAATTATCACAGAAATGCTTAACCCCTTCCCTCCCTAAAGAAAATTAAGTAAATGTTTTTACAGTAGTTATGATTAACTGATGCCACTGCACCTTGGAATGCTGAATATGTGGCTCTGCTTCTGAATTAACATGCAAAAAACCAGTTATGACACCATTTATTATAACGTTCACCATTATACAATTGTGTTCACCTATTATAAAACAACATTTCTAATCTGAAAAAAAAAAAAAAAAAAAAAAAAAAAAAAGACCAAGGGGGTTTTTTTGTGATATTCATGCAGAAGGAAGCATCATGCAGCATTTCTCTTTTGATAAAACTTCTGGTTAAAAAAGTATAATAAATTTCAGTATGAATGATCACAAAGACTTACAGATCTGAAATTCAGTCATCTTTGATTCTGGAAGTTCCTGAAATTGATGAATACAGAGATCCTATACAACATTATTTGACAGTATGAAAAGGCAGAATGTGATGACACGGGTCGTTAGAGAAGCTGTTTCTGCAGTCCACATTTTAAATCACCTCCAGGCAATGGTTCAATAATGGTATCTGTTACGCTAAGAATACACTCTTTTATGAATGAAACACTGTCTAGCAAACAGATCTGTAATTAAGAAGTCTGTACAACAAAATTCCTTGCAAAATAACCATTTCATGACTTTATGCATTTTTGTGCCAACTGTACTAAACACAGAAGACTCACTGAAACACATTTTCTTTTAAGTTTGCTGTTTTAACAATCAGCCTATATTATGTAACAGCACATAAAATTGGAAAGGAATTTGTACTTTGTTTCATGCATAAAAATGAAAAACATTTCGATAAAAGATTTCACTTTAACTGAAAATTAAAAATAAAACTTTAAATTCTCCAACCCCCAACCATAGCTGACAAACTGACTCTCAGTTTCATGTAAAAATGTACCTGATAAGTAATTTATACTTACACTGAAGAAGCTGAAAATGAGTGTTTCTGAAATGTGTTTTCAAATCTTCATTTATTTACAGAATCATTCATAGCCAGTCATTACTCATAAAATACACACGTTAGTCCCTGAGCACAGGTCCATTACCACAGGCTCCAACTTGGATGCTTTCCATTTCAGTAGAAGGAGACTCAATTTTGTTGGGATGCCAATGAAATACAAACCACTGACTTTTGAGCATAAATACCTTTTTCACTAAATTTTGAGTACTAAAATTTCTCTTGATATTAAAATTCCAATGGTGGCTTCAAGCTCTAAAGATAGCTGCCTTAATTTTGAAGTTTCTATCACAAACAGAAACTGATACTCAGAAGCAGCTTTTTGCATACAACTTTGCCCCAGCTTTGAAGGAAGAATTTCTAGTTTAAATTAGTTTTAGATGGCAGAGACTGTCTTGAAATATCCACTTAGCCGCCACTTCCATATTTATTTGCCTTGCGTTTTGGTCTTTACCTCAAGGCTTTTTCCATGTGATATTTTGATTCCACAACAGCAGTTTTTACTTGATAAATATTATAATCAAACACTGAATAAATAGCAAAAGCATGTGGGAGAACATGCTTTGCATAAAGCATTTGCTATGCCTTTGGATAACATCAGTTTATTTTAGAAACAGACTGTTCAAACTGAATTGTGCACTGATAATTAGTCTTCATTCATTCAGAGAAATAATAAATCATACTGGCTAGTTACTTCATGAAATACCTTTCTTCTTCTTCAGTGGCGCGACAGCCCTGGGTGGGCACTGGCCTTCTCCAGGCATCTATACTCTTGGCAACTGTTTTCCACTTTTTAACCTTTAAAATATTAAGATCTTTTTTGACACAAATCAATCTATCTTAATGAGGGTCTGGCCCGAGGTCTATTTCCCATGGGCTTTACCAGGAAGATTTTCTTACAGCAACGATTTTCATTCATTCTAGCCAGATGGCCAACCCATTTAAATTTAAGTCTCTATAATTTGACAAATTTTACAATATCAGGTTGTTTGTAAATTTTATAGAGTTCTAAATTAGATCTTAATTAGTTTTAAATTAGAATGCAACACAAGATCTTTTGCTAAAAAATTCCTAGAGCTTTCTCATCACACCAATGCCCAAGTCTTTGATGCATAAATCAAGACAGATCTTATAAGACTTTTGTAAAGATGCAATTTAGTTCTTAAGAAATATCTTTACTTATGAAACTATAATTTTGGACATCAGTATATTTTTAAGCAGCATTTCATTAAGCATGAAATCATTCTGGATAAAATATAGAATTTCCAGAAAATAAATAATTTATGAGAAGTTTGAGCTTTTTGCTGCAATTTACAAGTCCGGGATCAGCTTCAGTGCAAATCATGTGATTAATCCTGTTCCTTTCACCATGATGTTCGCAAAAAGCTAGTAATGTAATATATGATTAGTATGCTTTCTGATACTATGACATATTATGTCTACAAGTCACTTGAAAATTTCTATATTTTTCTTACAATATTATTAATACCCCTTAGATATTTGATTCACAATTCAGTTTATCATACAATTCTGAACAGCAAAAATATTTCTTCCTTTTCCTCTCAATTTCAAATTTGGTTGTATATGGACAATTATGATAACATTATTTTTTACAAGCTTCTTCCTTAAATGGTGTGTAATTTGTTTGTAATGGAAATTGCATGCACTTCAGATTTACCAAATAGCACCATAAAATAACCGATGGTACTAAAGGACTTATGAATTACGAAATTATTTCCCAATAAAATATATCAGTGTACAGCATCTGTGCATCTAACACCAAAATAATGAATTAGCTCCTAAAACCATGAAGAAAAGAAGAATGATAAATAGACTGAGCAACATATATTTCAAATACTGATTCAATTACTTACCAATCCAGTACAGTTTTCCCCGAGCTAACTGCACTAACCAATCATTGTGCTCAGGTGTTTCTACCACCACTAATTCTCCATAAGGAAAACTTTCACATGTTGTCTGAGCATCACTCCATGTTGATTGCAGTTTATTCCACTTGTAACACTTTCCAGAAAATTCTTCCCATCCTATAATAAGGAATTATAGTGAAAATATTTTGAAAAATTCAAAGCATCTTATTCAAGGTTTTTAGCTACAATAAAAGTTCAAGGTATTTTTCAATGAGTTTCTTAATTATTCGAATTTTCAGATATCTTAATTACCTTTAAAGCAATTTTCTGCCTCTAAACTTGGTAAACCTGCTTTGGATTCCTTAGAATTTAAAATCCCCACTGAACTATCTTTGATTACAACATCTCTAGATGATTTACCATCACTTTCAAATGGAGGGACTGAGAATTTGGTATTTTCTACATTACTAGAAGTTTCTGGAAGCCATGGCAACCAATTCTTACCATCACATTGAAAGAAATTTTGAGACGGTCTGTTATAATGTAATAAACCATATATATGTTCATTACATTCCTAAAATGAAGAAGATTTAGATTTTAGAAAAATATGAAATTTTACATTTCTGCAGTGCATTTTCTTGATAGACCATGTATCTTATACAATTTTGAACATTAAAACAGAATTTAATGGTACAATACGGAAGTTTCAGATATTAATTTCAAAAACTGGAAAGATATGTTACACTTCTTTTTAGCTCCAAAAATTGACACAGATGCCTCTTGATGTTATAATTAAGATATCATTATCAAATTGCCAATGTCCTGCCTGACTGTGTATGAAAATACACAAAGTACATCGCTTATTATGATCAAGAATTCAGTTAATATTATAAGACTACTACAGAATTAATTTTTAAACTAAAGCAAAAACACGAAATAAAAAATTAATTCTCCAAATAGCCAAAATAAACTATAAAAATTGCTAAGTGACAGAGAAATGCTACTATGCGAGACATTAACTGCTTGATTTCGATTTCAGGCAAACATTTAAAATTGGGTTAGAAAAAAACTTAAGTGTGACGTATGTTTTGAATGATTCTTTCAATTTTGAGAGTACTCTGACGCAAGTCTTTCTTCATAAGAAATAAAGGGGGAAAAAATGCCTGAAGAGTTTTTTTTTTTTTTTTCTTTTTTTTTTTTTTTTTTTTTTTTTTTTTTTTTTTTTTTTTTTTTTTTTTTTTTTTTTTAAAGAATTCGCTGAAAGCATCTATGAAAAATGAAGGTTGTTTTTTTAATTTAATGTTTTACTCTGGCATATTCTCTTACAAAAACGGTTGCCTTTTGAATATTAAGATTAGAGGAAAAGTATAAGTCAAGTAATTTTCAGAAATGTGAACAGTTCATAAACAAAGTTTTACATTTTTCTAATTAAAATGCTATGAAAATACCTATTTATATGTTTCTTGATATTTATATCTTATATCAGTTAAATGCCATTGCTATCTTGAAGGATATTTTTCTCATCGTTTAATGTTGTTATACAGTTAATGTTATCGAAACAACTGTGGAGTAGTGTGATCACATTAAGCAGCACTCAGTGGAATTAAAAAACAAAGAGAAAAATCCTTCTGCTTGTAATCAATTTTGGATTACTTACCATAGGAAATTTAGAATAGTTTGCATCATCACTATCTTTGTCCCCAATCTGCTCCTGATTCAAACACAAAAAATAAATAAATAAAAAGAAAAAGATATCTCTATAAGAAGAAAAAACTTAACGATTTAGTTGAATAATTCTTTTAAATATACAAATTTATTTTATTAAATCAGCACAATATATAATTATTGCTCTTTCATTGGACAGCAAAAGCTAATTAACTTACAGGGACAACTTCGCTTAAATTTTAAAATAAAAAATAAATACAGTCAAAAGTCTTTTTTAATCCGGACTCGTCGGGACTTCAGCGATTCCGGATTATCAATTTTTCCAGATTTAGATCATCAGTTTAAATCTGGTAAGATAACATGCACAAATTATAAAATTAAAAATATGAAACCGTAATTTATGAAATAAAGAGCAATTATGATCTAAAGGGTATCAAAATTTACAAAAAAAAAAAAAAAAAAAAAAAAAAAAAAAAAAGCTTAATATTTATTTGTTTACTTTATTAAACATTTCTTTCTACGCGTGCATGCGTAAAGCATACATTACGCATAGTCGAAATTAGAAAATTGCAACCAGAAAACTATTTGATTTGTATTCGTGATATTTATAATGACAAGGAATTTGATTTATGTCATATCAAAGACGCGTACATCGAGATGAAATACTACATTATAAAACGAATAAAATAAAAACATCTGCCCTGAAGATGAGGATAGTGCTGACAGATCAACTTCCAGTTCATGGTGCACCGCGACGTCCCCCCCACCCGGCGCAGAGCAGAGTGAAATTGATAAACAGATTTCGGAATGGTTGAGAAACAAAGAAGCCTTTATCCATTTTTTGGCAGCAATTCCACTTTTTGTTTGATGGACATCGAAACATGCTTTTGCTTTGTAGATCCAGCATCGGAAATTAGTAGATTTATTATTTCTTCCAGGTCTTATGACATAATCGAAAGTTCCAACTTACTTTTATAAAATTGCTCTAACAGTCTGCAAAAAAATAATAAGCTGGGTCCCAATTAGAAGATTAAGGAACAACGCAATCTACAACATTAACTGAAATAGATAATTAGATAATTTTAGCTTAGCTTATACCGTCCGTTATACATTAAACAAGCATGTGTAAAGGTATTATGCGCATGCGTAAAGGTATTACGCGCATGCGGTCAACGCAACGCAAATTTGCGTTGACGCATGCGCAGAAAATTTGTAGCTTTGAAATCCGGATTATGGGTGTCCGGATTAATAACTTTTGACTGTGAAAGAAAATAATACCAACAATTAGATTTAAAGAAAATCATATTGCACTGAAGTTTATACTACAACTTGGAAGAAATAATAAATCTACTAAACAGTTCAACAGGAAGAAATAGAAATGGTGGAAACCTAAAAGGTATCCTTAAAAATTCTGATTTCTAAGGCACGTTCAGAATACTACACAATTTAGCATTATAATCAAAACAATAATTATAGTTTCATACACAGCATTTTCGTATGTTAATAATTTTTAAAATGATGCAATTTTCCTTAACCGAATATATTAGAAACATATTAAAAAAACTTTTCAGAATTTCTGTACTATTACTGAGCATAAGAAAAATCTTCAAAATATAAATACTACTATCTAAATTAAAAGAAAAAATGTGCTTTAGCAGCATAACTAATAATTGTAATTAAATTACTACAACCTTCAGAAATATTACAAAAATGAAAGTTGAGAATTAGCAAGAAGAAATTTAGAACTTAAGCAAAATTGAAGAAGGCCAAACGGCTGAATTATTAGACCAGTCAGATTGAACCATTTTTGCTAGTCAGGACAGACAAAAATAATTTAATTTTTCATTCCAATTAATTGGTAGGCTACATCACTGTTTCTGACACTATGCGATTTTCGAACGGCAAAAACAAATTACATACAATTGCACAGTGTCATTCCCTAGATCAATCTGAACAATCAAAAAATAGAAAAAAATATATAAAGCATTCCCTTCAAAATGTGAAGTATAAGGAAAAATCCGAAAATTATCAAAATGTGAAGTATAAGGAAAAATCCGAAAATTATCAAAATGTGAAGTATAAATAAAAATCCGAAAATTATTCAAAAATAACAAATTATGTAAGAACAAAAAATAAATAAATAAATAAATAAATGCATCAAATGAAACAAATGAAAAAGCCTTAAAAACTCTCTAAAATGAGGAGTAGTAATTGTCACTCGGAACATCACTTTTCTCTCTCTTTTCAATTCCTTTTCTAGTCTCCTATGGTCGTTTTTCTGCATTATAATCTTGTGCCACTTTTAATAACATTTCACCTTTGTCCAGTTTCTTCAAAGCTCTCAGATTTTCTTCCATAGAAACAGACACTTTTTTCCTTTTCGAAGCCATCATAACGCACCACAGAACAGGATGTGCAAATACAAGGTAAGAATACTGTAATCTGAATATTACAAAGGAACAAAAAACAACCAAAATATCAACTCACTAGAAAATACAACTTGGTTATGAGATCAACGAACAGCACAGCAGGTTGGAGCATAGTGAATCATACTAATAAAATCTAGGTCAACTATGAAGCACAAAAGCAGCTTACTCATGTATGTTCAACAACTTGCCACTTTTTACTGATTATTTTTCTGCCGACTAGGTCAGGTTAAACAGAACATCAGATTAGGAAAAGCCATATGACCATGACTGTACTGTAATAGATCATTTTTGTATTGAAAACAGTTTTTGTTTCATTAAGCACATATTAGTCCTGTTCTATTATAACTTTAATATTACATTTGTATTTCATAAGATGATACAAATAAATTTAGTCTATTTGCATCATAAAAACTTAAACATTAGTTCTAAACTTTGGTTAAAATAACACGCCGAATAATGATTATGTTTGACTTCTCCAATAATCATTAGTTCTAACTTCACTTTTTATGCATTACAAAGGTTAAAACATATTCAACACTTAAAAAAAATACATATTGTATTTAAATATTAAATTCACATGGAAAGAGTGTTATCATATTCACTTGCAAAAATAATTCTTTTGGTGATCTACCATTATGCTATAACTCAATAATGGTTTGGATTGAATTATTTAATTATGGCAAAGCACACGAGGGATATCTGCCTAAAGGGAGGGATGCCTTTGTGGAGGACTTTCTAAGGGAAACTGGCCTGTATACACTTTACACATGGGGAAAACCACGAAAACACCCATGCAGGCAGCCCGTTCGACAACTCAATAATGAAAAAATTTTTAACATTCACAAATAAAGGCGAAATTACTTAACAAAATAATTCCATGACAAATTAAAATAACAGCAAATAAACAAGTAAAGACAACTGACCAAAAATAAAGAATAATAATATTAACAACAAGCCTTACATGGGAGAGTTATAAAATGAAAAACAATTTGGCAAACCTCTTTTCCCAGAAGAGGTGAAGGTAGTTAAATAAATCAAAATGATAAATTCGATCTGGTTTCAATAGAAGTAGTGCGATCACTGACATGAATTTATATTATAAAATAAAACAAAGCCAAGGTAAATATAATCACTTAGCGAATATGCTCTTTAACAGATCAAAGGAAGAAAACATAGCAAATAAGAATAATATGAGAATGAAAAGAAAACAATGGTAAAGAACATTATGAAATGTAATTGCAAAGAAAATGTAAACATAAAAAAAAAAAAAAAAAAAAAAATGTCACAGAGGGGGGGGAAAAATACCAAACTATATGCTGTATATTTTTCCATAAAAGTGTACCCATTTCTTAACTGGATCAATTTCTTAACTGACCTGAACTTTTCAGCTTTTAAGTTTACTTTTATATTACATAAAGCAAACTATTCTATCTTCATCCTGATAATTCATGAGAAGAGTAATTTAAATATGCTTTTGTAATGTATATTAAACCATAACCCCCAAACACTGCTCTTTTTTTCAGGGAAAAAATAATAGGACATTTAAAAAACTAAATATTATTTTCTCCTTTTTAAAGTTTTTATTCTTAAAAATATTTATCAATGTTAGAAAAACAAATTTTCAAGTTTATGAAAATAAGAAGATAGTTTCATACACCTAGAACAGTTTTCAATAGAGAACAAATACTATGGGATCATTTAAAAAGTTTACAGGCACAACAATTATGTTTACAAATAATCCACCTGATAGAAAGGTGGCATGTACTGCATGCCTAAAAATTTAAAATTTGGAAAAATATTTACTGTTTTTTAATGCATTCATATAGTGAAATTCATATTAATTACATTTAATCTGCAGTTATGCACTAAATTACAATCACAAATTCAAGATAAAACAAGTTGGCATGCTGACATGTCCTCTTTCTTTCTGCCCATGTTCCACTTAACAGGGCAGTGCATGCTGACAAATTTCTATAGCCACTAATGAAACAGGGCCAAAAAGAGCTGCTACCTTCCCCTTTTTCCCTCCCACAATGCTAACTCCCAAATATTAATATTATTTTTAACAAAATTTGGTGTTTAGCAACATGCTTTTTGTGGAAATTCAGAATATGTTTAGTTTGATTTACTTGATTATGGCTAAACACTCGAGAACCATTTGGCTTATGGAAGGGATGCCTTCACAGAAGACTTTTTAAGGGAACTAGCTCAGTGGGAAAGTCCATGAAAAGTAAAATGCAGCCTGCTCGTTCGCCGGGATTCAAATCCAGACCGAACTACCAGCATTCAGTGACTTTACCGCTAGGCCATTGGTAGTTCGAATTCAGTATATGATCCTGACCTCAATTTATGGAATTTATGCTACACTAACAGAAATAAGCTAATGTAAGTGGTCTAAGGTCTAATACTCCTTTAAGTACTCTGGAAGTAGGCTTAGATTTATTTGCACCTTATTGTTTTATTAATCAAAATGAACTACTATTGTAATTAGTTGGTTGAACATACTGGCACTGTACAAGAGCTGTACAGAAGCATGCATAGACAGCAAAATGTACATAAAAAATACAGGGTTAGCATAAATGATTCATTCATTTTGAAAAGGCTATATTTTCAAAAGTATTTCACGTACACACATGAAAAAGAACAAAAAGTCACCAAGTTTGTACACCCTCTATAAATAAAATACTTAGTATGTGCCCCTTTGGTGACACGACACACATCCAGATGATAGTCGAACTCATTCCATACATTTTCTAGCACTGTTGTCTAGATTTTTATCTTGTCAATTGACTAGATTTTCAGAATAACACAAAAAACTGTGTGGAAGATTTTGCATCAAGGGTTGCATTTCAAAAAGTACCAAGTGTAGCTCCTGTAACAATTAAAGCTGGATGATTATGCCCATTGACTAGATTTTTGTGTCAACATGCAGGAAGCATTGGAAGACAAAGATTTCAGCAGCAAGTTGTTATTCAGCGATAAAGTAATGTTCTGTTTATCTGGGAAACTTGGTTAAATAGTGGGAAAAAAAAAAAAACTTGACGAGTTTGCAGTTGCTTTCATACATTTTTCATGTGTGTACACATAATACTTTTGAAAATATAGCCTTTTAAAATGAATGAATCATTTATGCTAGTCCTGCACATCAGAGATACTAAGTAATGCTTAGACTGCTGTGTTTGAGTTCCACTCAGATATTCAGAATTCAAACTGTTAACATATAATATCAATAATAATAATAATAATAATAATAGCCAATAATAATATTACAATAACTTGTCATTTAAATCAAATGTGGTATACTACTATTAATAAATTATGATTAAACTGGCAGAATAACTGTAACTTAGTAAAAGATTGTTGAAGTAAAGTACAGATAAAACCTAGTTATGATAATTCTGCTAAAAAGTGAATTGGAAAAAAAAAAAAAAAACTTGTTTACTTGTAAATTAAAATTTTGTAAAAATTCATTATTCTAGAAAAAAGATAAATTTATGCATTATCTCCAGATTCAGAAAGTAAATATTTTTCCTTGCACTGAGTTTTTCCCGTTTTATTTCCAGTTTTGCAACTGATTAACTTTCATTCTATGCAACACATCAAATAATATTTTAGATACCTTACTATACAATTCTAATCGCAACAATTTTCCTGAAGAATATTTTCCATTTGACGAAATCCAGTTCTGTATTTTCAACAGCATAAAAAATATTTGCTTGAAGATTTAGAATAAAAAAAAAAAAAAAACAGAACTTCACATTACAAAAAGTATCATAGGTTAATGAATTGAGACATTGAGCTCTATATGAAAATATTAATACACAATTTTCTTCACATTTATTTAAAATATGCTAACTGAAATGGAACCATTAAAGAAAGTACTTGAGACAACTATCACACTCAAGTTTACATTTTAATAACCAACGTGGAATTAATACAATAATTACGTAGTAAAACACAAAAAGTAATATAATAGCTCAAATAACCCCTATTTAAACTAACAAGAATAACAATAAAAACTAAACATTAATAAAACATGCTTTTCTACACTATTTTCTATAATCAATGTGTGAAAAACTCCTCAATGCATAACAGTTTACTCAGAAATTTCTCAGACATCTAATAAATGTGTTCAACATAAAATGTTCCTATTTTTTATGTTAATTTGATCAATTCAGTTAAATATTAAATATAAGTACATCCAACAATTTTAAATAAATTAATTTTAATCTATAAAGTATGGATTATTTGCCTACCTCATCTTCATCAATACTAACAGAAGATTTAGGTGGATTACTTGCATCATTACCTTTAGATACTGGTGGTTTTGGAACTGGTATTTGAGAACATGACCCTATATGTAAAAACACAGGTTTAGAGTATAAAAGAATTTCATTACATGCAAAAAATACAACCAGCTCTCACTTTCTCTCATTTACACTCTCACTTGCACAGTTTGTAAACAGCTATAGAAATGTCTTTTTTCAAGGTTCATCAAGTGACAGTAGGATGTTGAAAAGACTATAGGCTTTCAGAAAAGGAAACATGAAAAATCACTTACACCTGGGAATCAAATTAAGCATACTTCAGTTTGGATGCACTTAACCTGCTACTTCATGAAGGCATGCATAAAAGGAATGCCATAATTCAACTTAAAGAATAATTGGGGATACAGGTGAAATCCTAATGGTAAGAAATCATTATCCATCATATTTTAATTGGGGCACCACTGTTGGTTTTGAAAAACATGGATTATTATGTTTTGGACTATTCAATTTTTGGAGGAGTAAACATGAAAAGTTAACATGCCATTACCAAGAATTGAACGACACATCTTGTAAATTGCTATCTGGAAATGTTAAACCTACTGTTCCCAAAATGTGACGTGGGTGGCTTACAGAGAGGCACAATGGAATATTCCACTGCTTTCACAGAAATGCTACTCAGTCCATACCCAGGCAGCATGCTTCTAAAAATATACAGTATAATAAGTTTAATGCGAAAGCGCTTAAGATGAAACACTGGTTAACACAAAATAATGCAACGGTCCCGACAAACTACTATGTATTTTCATGCATTTTGTTTCTCTTAACACGAAAAGATATGCTTTCTGGAAATGAACAAAACACGGAAAAACACCGCCTCGCAGGCGAGATTTAAGCAGAGTGTGAAATGAAAGAGAGGTGGTTTCACATGTTTTTATGGAAAGGAGGCTAACTTGGCTTTGAAATACCCTCGGAAAAGCCTGTGACACGAGCCAATTTTGTTTATCTACGCTAGTTTTGCCTTCCACCCCTACAAATGTCACAAAATTATCTCATCTCTCATCAGTTGGCTTTGGAATTTGGCATTCTCACAACGCAACGTGAGTAAAAAATCAGTGAGTTTGGTTCTTATGTTGCACTCTGCATGGATTTCAGTGACTCCAAGGACGAATGAAATTGTTTTCATCACGCATGATTCTCAAAAGTATCAGATTCTTTGGTGCCAAAAGAAATCTAGAAGGAGCTATTGAAACTGAGCTGACACTTAATGAAATGTTTGAGAAAGTTTTCTAGATTAATAGACTGTCCTACTGTACTATCAGAAGAATTCGTTGCAGAAGTTGATGATAACGTGTGTACAGTCCCAATTATGGCAGACAAAGACATTTTGGAGTTCGTTCAAAGCTATAACAATATCATTAATGCAGATTCCGACAAAAAAATGAAATGAATAATGCAGCGCTCCAGTTCCCATGTCATCAGAAATGAGGACTATCATAAAAAGTATCTGCAGTTATTCAGACCACATTCCAATGGTGAAATGAATAAAAAAATGGTCGACATTGAACAATTTGTTGACAATCCAAAGAAAAATATCAGATTATTTTCCCAAAACTCAATAAATGTTTTGTTTTTCAAAAAACTTGACAATTTTGTATTAAATTTCATTAAGTTCTTGTGGATGTTTTTGTTTCATTGATTTCTATGAAAACACGCATATATACATATCTGTATAAATAAAATGTACTCTAATAAACTTAATTTTGTTGAATATGTGTTTTTTTTTTTTTTTTCAATATCCTTTAACACAAAATTCTCTTAACATGAAAAAATATTTCAGTCCCCTCAGTTTCGTGTTAAACGATTTTTACTGTACATACAATTTTGGTGAAATAAGGGTATGGCATTTTTGCATATTATTTTTACAAATATTATACAAAGCCAAATGTACTGATAAAAACTAATTTTTCACTTGTTACTTTTATAAATAGTATATAAATTTTTAAAAACCTTAAAAAAATCTATCATTTAGAGTATCTGTTTTTCCCCTTCATTTTACAGTCCCTCACTTTGAACAGACAAACAAACAAACAAAAAATAATAATAATAATAATAATAATAATAATAATGCCATACACTAATTATTTTCATATTTGAACAATAATAACTCTACGAAACTGAAAACTTAATCCTGGTATTTTACATAAATTTCATTAACTTTAATCATTTTTATAATAATCACATGAGGCTGAATTTTTTTCTGTTTAATATATGGGAGAAAATTATACAGTAATTCCAATAATTTTTAATGATAAAAAATTATAAAATAAATAAATAATTATGTAGCATTTCATATTTTTGCCAAAATATTTATGGACATTCTTAATTTGCAAGTCTTCAGAATGAGTACAACGTTCCCGTTAACTGAAGGCAAAATTTATGTGGTTTGTTTTTCACTAGCTTATCAAAACTTACTGCTATTACAATTGTATACCAAGCATGCACATACAGAAGCATTTCTATTTTTTATACAAAAAGTAATTTAGTAATTCATTAGAAGGGTGTTCTGAAAATTTATGCAGTGTATGGAAATAATTTTATTTCACCTGTTAATTTAGAGGCTTCCTTAATATGTCCAACTATGAAGGAAAAAAGGCAACGTTTTTTTAGCAAATAAGTCAGTAAATTCTTTATTTCTGAATGGATTAGTGTCACCATATGGAACCTGGTTATTACATTATTACTTGAAGAAGGTAAGTGAATATTTTTTATTTTAAGCGTTAAATATTCATACTTTCTTCATCTATGAAAAATTTTGTGAATGGTGTCCGTCTAAGCAATTTAACTTTCCAACATCATATTAAGCTTCCCCCCCAATCTTTGCATGCGCAGCAATTGATGCAGGGAGAAAAAATGTGTGTATGGTGTTTTTTAAATATTGTGAAAGTTTAACTATATCTGATACTTATCTATTCTATTTTACTGCTATGTAACTAAAAGTGATACTACACGAAAATCACATGCATTTAAAACAGCACTTTTACATCAGTAATGTGTGTATATGTTCTGGATATAATTATAAAAATGGTACTAAATAAATGTATGCACACTTGTGAAAATATATGCAGATTTAACGAAAACTGCATGTATAAACACAATAATAGATTTAGTAAGAAAGTAGTTGATTTACTCATATTTTTTGGCCAAAATTGCAGGTTAATGCAAAGGAAAAAGTACAGGGGATTTACCTGAATTTTGACAGAAATAACCCTTATATGCAAAGGAAAAAAAAATAGGAAAATTAATATAAATTTCTACCAAAAGTATAGGTTTGTACTCAGTATCGGGACATATACAATAAATATACATAATTTGTTGCCAAAAATATAAGTAAATCCACAAAATTTATATGTAAATTATACATGAAAGCTATTTGCATCATTGCAGCTAAATTTTAGATAAAACTTAAGTATAATGTAATGTAAAAATGCATGTAAACATCTACTATTTTTCGGACACATTTTATGATAGTTTTACAGTTTTTATACGAAGGGCGATTGTCATGAGCCATTTATGAATGCATGCTGCCTGGGTATAGTTTAACAGCTGAACCATCCATACGTTGGTGCTAAGATGGTAATAGCATCTAGTAGACACTGTACAAACACTGCTTTTGAAAAATGTTTTCAGTTTACCAAGTAGTTTGCAAATTACAGAAGACAATGCTGACAAGTTTGCATTAATTTATGGCTTTATCAGAGCTGAAGCTACATCTGAATTTGCTTCTGCGGAAGAAAATCTTACTGATCTGACTTGCAACAATAAACTGAAGACAAAATCTGATAGAAAAGAACTGACTTTTGGATGTCTTTAATAAAGAGGATTAAAGATAATTTAATATCATTAAAAGATGAACAGTCCACATGCACTAAGTTTTTGGCTGTTGCTGTTATAAAAACAAGTGTGAGAAAATCAAAGTGGAACAGGATATGAGCAGACATGTCTAGCTTAATTTAGCAATTTCAAAAGATGTGCAGTGAAGTTGATTCATTTATTCAATAATATGATTGTCCAAACTAAGTACTTATTCAGCACATTTTAACAAAATTATTTCTTAATTTGAAACATAGTTAATTTATGTTTTAAATTTAACCCCCTAACCTTTAACCCTTAATCTGAACTACACTCTGTAACTGTTAGGTAGATCTATATTTAGACTTTTAGTGCCATGGTAATATTCTGATATACAAAGAGTACTGTGAACTGAAAATGCTTAGGAACAATTGTATTCACTACCACTCCACAAAGGCATAGATGGGAAGTTAGCTGTATTTCACTACAATTTACTTTATGAATCCAAGATACTAACAATTAACCTTTAAGTATATCGGTACTTAAAGGTTAACTGGATTATCACTCATTAGTATATTAATAACTAGAATTTAATTATTAGAACAAAAAAGACTTACCTCTATTCAAATCATAAATACTGACAACAGTCCTGTTGTGACTAGATATAAGACAATTTTCAGGATCAGACAACACGACTTGAAGTTGCTCAATAGGAGCCTCCTCAAGATCATCTTGCACAATTATAATTTCCCAAACTGCTAATGTTTTACCTATGCAAAATAATAACATAAATGATAATTTATTTCATAGAAGAAAATTTTATTCATTAATTGATTAAAGATGAACAAATTAAACTTGCATAAATATATTTCATCAGATCAGGACCATTTTGCAACACTTTTAAAAACTTCAAATAAACTAAAATTAGTAAACATATCCAGTAGTGGTATTTACAGGAAACCTAGCAGCAACTCTTAATATAATCCTTAATTTTGCCCTTTTAATGCACAATAAGCAGCAGAAAATCCATATGGGGATTATTCGTTTTATGCATAATAATAATAATGCACACAGTTGTCCCCTCTCCCAAAGGAGTTCTTAGACTCGAACGTAAATATGATGCGGTGCCTCTGGCATTTAGAATGAAACTCATGACTTTTTATTGCGAATCTCAATAAGGCTTCGTATGAAGTTAACAGTTTATGGTTTATTCATGGCTGAAAAAAACTCATTCATGTAATGAAGTAGAAAAGCCTAGGAAAAGGACACTGGACTTCATGAAAATTCAGCAGTTTGAAACTTAAGTGAAGAAGAAAAAGAAGTGTGGGTGCAGAAAGACAAGAAAAATGAAAGCTATAGCATTTTATAATACCTAACCGGTATAGTGGTTAGCATCACTGACTGCCGTGCCGAAGGGCCTGGGTTCGAATCCCGGAGAAGGCATGGATGTGTGTAAACGTATAGTGTCAGTGCGGCACTCTAAATATGAGGCAAACTGAAAGTCATCTCGTGTAGTTTGGTCATGGAGGTAGGAAAGGGAGGAGGGGCCATTCCGCGCTAGAAGTGAAGCACTGCTTTGAAGCTTGGGTCACCAGACGGGGCGTTCTTTGTTTACATTCAGAAGCTCGCTTGACAAGATTCTGATAGTATTTCGACACACGACAGTTCCATAGAAATCGAAAAAGGGACACTCTCGCATGAAAGAAACATTTATAGTGTCATGGATAATAGCAATTTGTATAGTTTACTGACATTTACGCAAAAATCACATCTTGGTTATTTTTTTCGATAACTAACAACAGCGATTTTGATTATGAATTTGTTTTATAAAATTCTAAGCTGTTTGTACTACAAAAATATAGATTTTAAGAAAATTGCTAAAAGAGATCTGCCAAAATTTATTTTCTAGAAGATTTGAAAAAGTTTGAAACTTGATGGCTAAATTTTAAATATAAAATTATGTATGTTAAAATATTGTAATTAGGCACATAGGTCAGATTAAGTTTTTATTAAATAGAGTAACGCATGCAATGGCTATCTGCCTAAAGAGAGAGATGCCATCGTGGAGGAATTTTGAAGAAAAACTGACCTTTGAGTGGGTATTAAAAATAATACTTATAATTTTCATTCAAATTATATTCATATATATTTTTTATGTAAAACTTTCGGGTGTATGCTAAATTAGCGTAAATTACTTTACACGAAAAATAAAGTGAATGCACAGAAATTAAAGATTTGCACATGCCGGAAATGATAAATTATTTATACGGGTATTTACGCATGTGCTTGCAAAAAGCATGTATCTGCCTTTGACAAAATACTTAAATATTCATTAAATTATTTATAAATGTATTTGAAATGAAGAATTTATTCACTTATAAACAACTGTGAAAGTACTGTGAAGAAATCTAATGATTAAATGTATCTAATTTATAATGATTATAAATGTTATCTAAATATATAATAACCTTAATATTGAATTGTAAACATAAATTGAAATCCTGTTGACAAATACGTTATAAAACTATTTAAGCAAGAATTGTTCGGATTGGAAAGCAATCTGTTAAAAGGTATTGTAAAGCAAATGCTATAAGATGCGCACTTAAGAACGTAATAAAGAGTTTTGGAATATGTATTGTTGAAATGAAGGGTTAAAAAAAAAAAAAATCTGATAAGTATAATTAAAAGAATTATTCCCTTTACATTTTATAATAACTCAGTTACAAGTTTTAAATAATACTTAAAAAAAAAAAAAACTTATTTTATTCCCTTTCAGAAATGTTCAGAGAAAGTCAAATACTATTTAATACCTATTTAATTATTAGGAATTAGCGAAATACTTATTTAAAGTATTCGCTAATTCCTAATAATTCTCTAATTTAAAATGAACCGAAATAGAGCATTAATTATAAATTGACTTACATTTTTCGATTTAAAAGAAGCCAAAAAATCATGTCGTATTTAAGAAAGTATTTTAGGAAGAAGCTCTATAAATAGAAAAGAAATAATGCATAATTTTAATATTAATAATACAATAAACTCTGATCTTAATTTTTGTACCTTAACCGAATAAAATCGAATTACCTTAATTTTTTTTTCTAATGTAATTAACGAAAACTTGTGAAAATATTTCATTCAAATTAAACCATTCTGAGAAAACTGTCCTGTGAAAAGTATAGCATTTAATTCCGTTCAGAATGAAATGTTTGTTTAAAAATATGTTGTTTTCACATACTTAGGACTCTGAAGTGTTGTAGAAAAAGAAAATATATACATTTATATGTATATTTGCGACGTAATTACAAAATATTTACACCCGAACGTGTCAAATCCCATAGAACTCAATGGTAAATGACCCAATGTTTTGGTCACCACGTAGGGATCGCCGGTGCTTCAGAGCAGGGTACGGAGAAACTTGTTTAGGGCGACTCCTTCTTACTTCCTACCTCCGTGAGTTTGGTGGAAGGGGAGAGGGGTGGGAGACCCTCGGACCCCTCACTCTTGGGGTGCTCTCCATCAAAATTTGGGGGAGGGGAATGGAGCAAAATCGCACTGTCCCCTGTAAGGTGCTCAAGGCTGTTGCCAATAATAGGCGTAAACTAGCGTTCCTTGCCATGAGGTATTTCATGAGCTTGGGCTGATGTTACGGTCAGACAAGTGAGCATAAGTAACAACAATAACAACATAAGACCTAGTTATTCTTGAATGTAACTCAATAAACAACAGTAAAAAAAAGGAAAGAAAATAATAAAGATTATGAGATAATAAGAGTGGCTAAAGCAAGCCACAGATCTGCTCATAGGCTAATAGATTCTAAAGGCTGAGCTCAAAATTAATGAATTCATAGCACAATTCAGCATTTACACTACAAATCAAGAGACTATCAGTATGCCTTCTGCCCTCTGCCTTTTAGAGAAATGCTACAAGATCTTCCTGTAAAAAACTGCAATGAAAATTATATTATTATTTCAATTAATCTCTGTTGCTATCATTTACATAAATTTAACAAGCAGATTTAGAATAAATTGATATATTAAATTAAACTGATACAACTACCACAAGATGTCATGTTGGAGATAAACTTCGAGACAGCAACTTAGTGACTGAATTTTTTGCTAAAATAATTCCAGCCCCAGATGAGAGCAGAAGGGTCTTGAAGCAATATTATTGAATTCATTGAAGCAACATCATCGAATCTGCAAAGCACTACCAATATTCAGTAGCATATTCTCTTGTTTCATAATGTGTGCAGCCAAACAGTTAGTGCATCTAAAAGATATGCAAGATTTTCTATTCAGCACAGAAGTCACCTATGTAGCAATTTAATTTAATTTTAAAAATGTCTTGTAATTGCATAAATCACCCAAACATTTCCTGTTGCATATGTGGTGAGTTAACTCATAAGCAGAAGCAAGACCTTACTGCTTTACTTAAAAACTGTTGTAAGTTATATTTTGATTGCAATTTAAGCAAGAATCAACAATGGATGCTAAAAAGCTGTTTTTCGAATCGTATAGATCTGATTAACTGGATAGATAAATAGAACTTGTTATACGGCTTTTGTAATACAAGAGAAATAGAAGGTACTTAAAAATTATTTAACTTATTGCTTTTTTTGGGGAGGGGGGTCTTGACTGTTAATGTGGAATAACATCAGAGCGTAGACACATAGTTGTACACCCATCTCAGTCCTAATCTACTAGTTGGTGCATTATGCCACATAGTATTATACTTTTCGGTGCATGAAGAGGAAAGGGGTGTGGATTCTTTAAATGAGTCATTATAAATTATATTAACCAGTACTTATTGAAAAGCACTCTCGCTTCTTCTGAACTTCAGTTAGTGTTGCACTCAAATCCAAATTATTTGATTTATGATCTTGTACTGCTTAAAACTAAAGCAGAACTACTCACTTCAAGATTGAAGGGTTTAGACCTGCCACAGAAGGAGATCAAATCTTTTTTTCCATCAGAATTAAAAAGAATTTGAGGATCAGTTTTCTAAACAAAAGAGACTAATTCTCTGCAGTGATTTGGAAGTCAAATTGGAGCTACTGAGACTGTCAAAAATCTGAAAAATGGCATTCACTAATATTTCAAAAATGTTCTTGAAAGTAAAGCTGATTCACAGTGGGAACCGATACCCACTAATTATTATAGTCTATGCAGCTGACATAAAAGAATCATATGAAAACATAAATCTTCTGATTTTGATTATCTGGTATGAAAATTATTCTTAAAAGATGTATCTAGATTTGAAAGTGACAGCCTTCTTACATAGGTTACAACAAGGATATATTAAATTCTACTGCTTCTTATGCATGGGATAATTTGAGATAGAAAAAAACCCTTATATCAAAAGTACTTGGGCAGAAAGAGTAGCTTACCTATTTAACAGACTGTGAATTACTTTTCAAACTGTCAGCGAGTTATTATATTAATTCTAAAACATACAGATTAATATCAAACGAACTTCTATTTGATCACCACTTATGATAGATAAAAGCCAGAAACTTAAAGCATAAATACATTTTGACAATAACATTTCAAAACATAACAACCTGCCTGATATTTTTACAAACATCAAAATGCAATTTCTTAAGACCACACACCTAGCTTTGATCCTTATGTGGCTAACTATAGAGTGGGTTTACTTACTGTCTAGGGCAGTAAAGAAATTTCACCTGGTCTTCCAGCAATACTTTTTTTTTTTCTACACATATATTTAACTGAAATGGTGCAAGCAATCTTCAGCAGCAGGCCATGTCTTCATGCAGTTAAATTAACATACACTAATTTTCACACGTCTTGCATGCATAACTTTCTAATCCAAGTGAATATATGTGACATAAATCAAAGGGACAACATGACAGCATTTAACTTAAATTTAACTGTAAACTAATTGCCATAATTTTACTACACCCTCTGAATATGAAATTAATATTGTTAAAAAATTTCATGAAAGCAATAGATCATAACAAGGATGCATTTCCATTTCTCAGGAATGAATTTACAAATTTTGTGAATCTGAAAGTTAAATAAATGCAGATTTGTACATCCTCGAATCATGTAGTTACATATTGTTTGGAAAACTATAGGTGTCTGAATTATAGAAGTGTGTCCGCAAACTCCTTAAACACTACAAGGACTTGGGAAGTTAAATCTCTTACAAAGCACACTTTTTAAACTCTTAACTTAACCTTCTCCTTAAACCTGGTCACTCAGCCTAATGAGCATGGAGAAAATTGCTATCTAGACATTGCAGAAACTGAAGATGTTACCAAAACAATTCAATCTTAACGGTGCTAGCTGATTGCTGCTGGTCACTCAAACAGGATGTTACTCAAGTAAAGTACAGCCCCAAATCTTCCTCACATGTATTTTATGCACATAAATAGTTTCAGTTGTGATATTATGCTGTAATATTCAAAGCTGCACGTACATATTTTTTGCCTGAGGTTAAGTGTTAAATCAGCATTCCTTATATGCACTGAAATGAGGTATATCACATCCTTCAACAATCAGATTTGCGAATGGCAAGTTAGCATTAGTACCTCGTTCATTGTAAAGCTACATTAGCAAAGCATGTTTACATAAGAGAAGCGATGTAACATTTCAATCCCATCAAAGTAATGCAAAGCATTTCTTTTCTTATATGCATCAAACAGAACACAAAACAGCAAGATTATGCAAATTATTTTGCATTTCCATCATTAAATTTCCCCTCATTAGCATTCCGAGTCCCTTTTCATTGTAAATGAAAATTCAATGACTCAAAAAGCGTTTGCATTCAAATCTGCTTGATTTGGCCAACATGTATTTTGCGACAGAACTCTAAACTATTCCTCTTTAATTACATTCACTCTGTATAATATATCTCTGAAGTACTAGAGTAACATTTTAGTGGATACTTTTCTCCAGGAGATACCTTCATTACCTTCAGAGCAAAAGGAAATTAATATTAATTTAATAATGTGTAAAAAGTTGCAATACTTATTTAATAATACTTCTGGAAAGAAAGAATGAGTAATCAAAAGCAAAACGAGGTAAGCCAAAAAATTTGTCTACTAATTCATTTAACTTTTAAAAATATCTCTTCATTTAGGTAATAGTGTCACATATGCATGTAAACTCATAAATTCATTCCAAGTATCATTATAAAAGACTTAGAATTAACGGTACTGTTCTGTTATCAGCACCAGGTTCAGAAATGTATGTATGTGTTCATGTATGCATATATGTAAGTATGAATGTATGCATGTGTACATATACACTTATATGAACATACATACATACACAAGTTCATGCATTCATACAGTTCTGAATCCAGTCCCGATAACAGAACAGTACCAAATTAAAATATATATACCCCTATTTTGCAGAAATCTTAAATTCAGAACATTCTAAAACTATGAAGTTCCACAGAAATAATATTATTAAAAGAAACATTACCAGGATCAAACTGAATTTTATTCACATTTCTTGACACAAAATCTAATCCTTTTTTTGCTGTCTGCTCTAGAGTTGTAACAGTTACATAAGAGGATACATCTGTATTTCCCACTCGATGAACGTTGATATGCAAAATACCTTCATTTTCACAGACAGAATATTCAGGGTAAGGAAAAAATACAAGAGCCCATTGGAAATCCATCCTATAATAAAAATTTGAAAAATATATTCTAAGCTTTTTGTGAATTAAAGGCATTAAAATTACCATAAATTTCAATCCTACTGTTATTTTTGATTAAAAATAAACATTATGTTTATTATTGAGAAGCATTAACATTTTCTTTTCAGGATGCATTAAATTTAAGCTCTTAAAATAATCAAATGGTACAAAACTATAACGTATGCAGCACTACAAATAAATCAAGACACAATTATATATAATAATTCCTGACCACTACAATCTGAAAACATCATATTGCAGACTACTCTTTGAAGAAGCGGTTAACAATAAACATTTCAAATAATTTAAATATTTAAAAAGTTAAAATCATAAAACATAATTAAGAAACATAAAAAAAAACTGTTTATATTTTACCTTTAAAATCCCCTTTAAACATTAGAAAAATAAAACGACTATTCTAAATGAATCACTACTAAGAGCAAAATGTCAATTAATTACTGCAGCAAAATATAAATGACCTGCCCTAAAATACATGACTCCATAATAGTGGTCTGTTCTCTCAGCGTCCACTATGGTGTGTGCCACTGACATTTACCTTTCCAAGACAGTAGATTATGTGTCAGAAATACAAGGTGAGCTAAAAAATGGAGTAAGTAATGGACCTTTATGTAAGTGAGCTGATTTAGTCTCACCAGCGATTTCGAACATCAAAACATCTGGTGACAAAGAGAACTAAGTAATTACTTCACCAACATCATTGAAAAGAATCGGCTTGGAGCTGTGAGAATTCTTGTTTGGAAGCCGCACAGCGCTCCACAAATCTTCCAAACACGTACAATTATTATTGCACCGACATTCTCCTTCCTGGAGTGAGTTTTCTCAGGAGTGCAATGAGCCCTGAATTCCACTTTATGAATGACAATGCTGCACCACAATGTACAGTTGTAATGTTACACCGCGAAGGCATGCTGAAAGGAGGGAGAAAATACCTCACAATCTTATAATCTTTTTAAATAGTAAACTTCATTGCCTGAATATGCAATACTTCAAATTTCCTTTTTTTTTTCATTCTTTATTTTCTTTCTTACTCCTTTTTAAGTAGTATTTTATTATTTCTCAGAGCATCTATCATTAGCTCATAAATAACTTGTGGAGAAGGTTGATCCAAGTAACATGCTTAGATTCTTCACTGGTAAGTGTTGAGCGTGCTAATTTTTCTTTAATTTCAAGCTTTCCATTAATTTATGCTGAAACAGATATTTGTTTTGCTGAAATTCATAAATGGAATCTTTAAATATATTCATGATTACCATTAGTTTTAAATACTGTTACTTTAATTTAGTACTATAGTGACATTTCCAAAACCTGCGAAGTATGTATAAAAAATGAATTTGACTAGGTTAATCAGAATAATCTAAATTGTTGCACACAAGTATAACAGAGAAAATTTTGCTTTAGAAAATCTTGCAAACTTTTCTAAACATTGAATTACACTTCTCCGTTTATTGAACACTTTTCTCAATGTAAAGTCTATAACTTGCTTTTTGCAATATTTAATAGATCACCAGGCTAAGCTGCTGAATTAATGTCTCTCACAACTGTTTCTTGGAAAAGAGTAAAAATATTTTGAGATAAAAGTAAATCTGTGCAAGATAATCTTTAATGTTTTGCAGGTATGCATATATGTATGCCTTTCAAATGGTTAAGTAGGCAAGAAATAAAAGCATTCATGCATTTTTTAGAAATCAGTGCATGACCGCTTGTGCAATCCAGCTTAAAAGACCACCGTGGCAAATACAGTTTCATTCAGTGTTCAATTTTCAGCAGCAGGTAGCTGACTGGTTAACTGCTCGTTTGCTAATGTTTCCAAATGGATACTTGTTGAAAGACTTCAATTTTGTTATTTTTTTTTCTTCAAAATAAATCATTTATTTCATTTAAAAATTGTGTGGAATTGAATTTTCAAAAAGTTTCGACAGATGCTTGTGAGCATATGTTTTCTTTCTCTTTTTTTTTTATTCTCATGTGAATGAACTCATTCAAGAATAAAAAAGAAGGGATATTTGAATTCGAAGGTATGTTTCAGTACAAACAACTAGAATGGAAAATCTATATTTTATCTTAGGCAATATAACAGGTACAAAATTCATGTTAAAAGAAAAAAGGAATGGAACTCTGAACTTGATAGAATCGCATTACCTGTATTCTTTGTTGTACCTGGTATGATTCACAACAACTTGAAATGTAAAGTAATCAGAAGTTTCAGCTTGCTGCTTTAAAATTATGATAATCAACTGTTCATTCACATCCTCTTGAGTAAATGATCTCACAACTTTTTCTTCCTTTAGATGAAAAACATAACCATGATCTAAATACTTTGAAATAACAAATTTAATGTCTTTTGGTGAAGCAGCAGGAAAAGATACTCTCAAATTATAATTGTTGATGTGGAATCCTACATTCTGATTCCATACTTCTTCTAAGTCCCCAGGACGATTGATAACCAATACAGGATCTTCAACTTTATCCACATTTTTTACAAATATAGGAAATCTAAAACATTAAAATGCAATAATCAAAATTTTCAGCATTAAGGAAAATATTATACTCAAGTGCTTAGTTAAAAAAATTATTTATTTATACCACATATTTACAAGAAAATGTGAAAAATGTTTTACATCTATATTACTAAAGGTTGAAATTTATCAAACCAAATCTGTAACTCATTCGTAAAATGCAGTTTAACTGCGAAATCACTGATATACGTTGAATAAATTTAGAAAGTATGTGTAAGTAGTAAGCATTTTCAACTACAGACTCTGTTGTGGACATGTTTAAAATAGTTCATTACTTAAATCCCATTTTCTTCATAGGTAAGTGTAGTGTTTGATATATTGCTAATTTGAATCATGCAATCTGAGTGAATTTTACATAAATAAACATAAAAAAAACTATCTCATCAGCATAAAAAGTTTATCACAACTATACTTGAATCAAATGCATCTAGCTATACATGCTATATACATGATCTATGAAACAAATTTCTAAACTTTTGATGTCACTTTTTGATAATATCAAAATTTACTCTTGACTTGATTTTTAGAAAGACTTCAGGCAATTTTAAGTAAAACTACACACTAACACAGACAATACAGTAGTACCCACTTGTCTTCAAATAGGAATTTGTTCCAACACTGACTTCAGATAACATATGAAACAATACACTGCTGAGAATATTATATAAATAGCACCGAATACATTAGAAGACTGGATATTTGTGTCACAGTGTGTGTACATACACATAACCAAGTTTTATTGATTAATTATACACTATAAGACACTATCAATTACGGCAGTGCCAGAGCCGATACAACCGATGTGGTCACTCATGCAGAAAAAATTTTAGAATTCAGAGAAACACTGAAGAACAAAATTTAGCAATGTCAAAATTTTTAGAATTTAGGGGAGGCAATGAGATGCAAGAATCTAATGGTGGAAAAGTTTCAGAATTAAGGGAGATAACAGGAGAAAAATTAGGAATCACAGAGATTACATCGGGTGGCAAAATTCCTAGCACCAGTCCCGCTACTAACATTCAGTAAAGTAATAATGCAGCATATGTTATATTATTAAATAATGTGAAACACACCGTACATTACAATATAAACCTTCTTTCTCTCATACATATTAAAATACAGGATTCTGGCACATTTAATCTGCAATGATGAGCTAGAAATAAAGATATACATTATCTCACTCATCATGAATATATCAGATTATATTTTGCTATTAGTAATTATTACAAATTTGTACATGGTTTCTGACATATTTTTATCAGGCCATGTGGCTTTTAACACATCTTTTATTAAGGCCAGGTAACCGAAAAGCTCCTAAAGAATTGATTACTGTGATCTAAGCTGAAGCAACTGACGTCACAGTGGAGGACTCCAAATGTTCTATGACCAGAAATAAAACCACACAAAACACAATGCATACAAAATTCCATACAAAAACACAGTGCAAACGATATTAAAAAGTCATAACAAAGCGAACATGCCAAAGAATAAATGATTTTCGTAGCAATTGATTTCATACCATTGAATTAACATTCATTTGCTAAGTCAGAATAATTAGTTGATGCAGCATTTTATTTAGAGAGATAGCTGAAACAGGATATATATCATAAAAGACCTCAGAAACAGGCAGATGGAAACTAATTGCTTCACCATAACTAAGCACCAAGCAACAGCACTCTGAAGGAGCGACAGATTTTGGCTAAAATAAACTAAAAGAGTCTTTCAGATCAACTACTTGCCAGACTTCTTTTTTGAATATTAATTTATAGTTCATTTTTTTAAATTTTTGTACAGGAGATTTCCTGCTGGATCCAAAATAGCACTAACACATTTCAAGTATAAGATTTCTAGAGCAATTCCAACGTTAGTGCGTGCATTAAAATCGTTGCTTAGCTATAGAAAGGAGAAAAGAACTACTCTGAAGGGTCTGGAAATCAGATTTAATGCAGGTAACTTTTCAACATTCGATTGGTCTTCTCAGTGCTGCATTTTGATTAGAACAGTACTTATCTAAACACAGCTCACCAATACATTAGAGACAGGAACATATAATATTATAGTACCATTAAGAGGGAAAAAATATTCTTAAAAAGAAAACAACACACATTGTTATAGTATAATTAAAAGAAAAAAACAATTCTTAAAAAGAAAACAACATACACAGAGATTAATGCATACATGACATAGAAAACAGTCAACAGATAAAATCCAGTTTCAAGATACATATATGATTTAAGAGAACAAAAAATTAAGCAAACAAAAATGCATATTTGAAAACACAATTGGAGAAAAAGTCATTATGTCCTCAAAAGTTACCAGACTTAGGAAGGGGGAAAGCACTTAAGGTAAAATCATCTTGCCAACCTAAAAACAGCAATAGCAGAATTTAAATGTTACACATCAAATAATATTTTTGTCAATAGTAATTACTTGTAGCTAATAAAGATTTCAAAACATGGTTTAGTGTGGCCATTTATACTTTGCCGACAACATTAACATGGTGCATCCTCATCATGAAGCTTTCAACAACATAAATTTAAATGAATGATGAGCAAAGCTGAACATCAAACAATTCAGAAGTGAATTTGAGGAAATATATAAATTTAAACATTACTGATTCATTTATCCAAGATACATTTCACATCTTTTCAGACACTAGAATATTTGAGTGAAATATGAAAATGACATTTCTACTTATAAAAATTAACATTGAAACACATAATGTGACTTTAAATATTATTACTTTCGCATGGCAGCTGCTGAGGCTTTGATGCTGCCAGTGCTTTTTCACAGACTTGAGAAAAGGTACTTATCAAGAAGTGAGACCAATGGATAGAAACTGCACTTAGGTCAAAAATTTTAATCTAAACATACCAGATAGTTGAATTTACTACTGAAATAATCTAAGCACAGAATGGAACTTCAAAATGTCACAGCAGCAGAGGTTCAATTAAGGTAAGGGGTTCTAAATTTTCAATGAGATGTAAGGGGTTCTAAATTTTCAATGAGACAACAAACCTAGGGCTTATATATTCAAAAAAAAATGAAGAGAAATTTAAAGAAATATTGAAAGAACATACATTGGAGGAAGGATCACCTTAGTTTTTCAAAAGGAGAACTTCTCTCCAGACTCTACTGCTTCAATGAACAGATTTCAGTCTCACAATTTCCATGTGCTACATGTCCATCACATTTCCCAGATCCGAATTCCATAGAAAATTTCTAGATATAATAAACTCAAATAGCACATGTTCATGCTAAGGTATATGTCAATGCTAAATACTACAAGTGCATAAGCAACTTAAAAATCTGCTATTTATAAGTTCAACACTATTTTTAAAAAAACTTTATTGATTATACGCCTAATAGATAGAACTGGATGCGATTTCCAGAATATAGCAGTGGCTAAACATTCACGAACCTGGAACATTAGCAGCACATCCTAAGTTTAGCTCCCAATATGAAAATGAACTAGCTAAAGAGGTCCTCAGTTTTCTCTGTGGGTAAAGCATGAATTTTTCTTATGAGTAATATGAATCAGTTTACCTTAGAAAAACATTTATGAGGGCTTCCTTCCTAAGGTTTATATCCTTCAAAAGCTTTAACATGATTTAATAAACCTGAACAAAATATTTATTAACTCATGAATAAAAATAAGTATTAAAATTAAATATTATCTGTAAAGTTTAAAAAGACAAATTTAGACAAAAGCCATTTTCAGCATATAAATTCAGAAAGTTATATAAATCCCTGCAATTCCTTTCATGTATTCTCATTGCCTACGGTTTATAAAACAAAGTTCTTTTCATATAAGTTCTCTTATGCAAGTAAATGAAAGTAAACTTTGTAAAGTGTCCGAAAATAAGCATAACATGTCCAGCACTTTACATTTGCACACATACATACATTCACACACAAACACGCAAATAGAAATACACACAAAAAAAAAGCAATATTCTCTTTAAAATATTTCAAAATACTTACATACTTGGATCCAATGTTAGACTCTCATTTCGTACATAGCCATCTTCTTGATTGCTAGCAACCTCAAATAAAAAGTGATCGGTAAACGAAGAATTTGATTTTGGTACATATGTTATCAAACCCTTATCAATGTCTTCCTGAGAAAATGCAAGAGGATTCTCAATTTTTCCATAATACATTAATGATCCAAATTTGGGTTTCTCTATTATTTTGTACGTTATATTTCGACTAGGTATTAACGACTGAGAAGCTAACAGATGTTCGGATGTTATAAAGAAAGAAGAAGAATTATTCATATCAATAACCAATGGCAAAAGTACTCTCAAATGTGGAAATTTATCTATAAAACTTGATATGGCTATATTGAAAGTTAAATTTTTCATAATTACTCCATTGGTAATCATTATATCAAAACTATCATTAGTAAATTTATGTGATTCATTATGTAGATATAATAAAAGATTATTTTTCAGATGAAATAAAGTAAAGTTTTTCACAGGCAATACATCACCTTTCAGTGATAAACTGCCATAATATGGTGGCCTCAAAATCACAAATGAAATATTATCAACAGAACTGTTAGTCAAAATATGCAACAAAGATGAATTCAATATTAGTTCTCCCCCAGGATCAATAGAAGCTTTATTATTTAAAACACTGAACCCTTTTTTTTCATCATCACTAAATTTAATGACAAATGAAGCTAATGATGAATTATGAACTCCATCAGAGAGGAAAAAATTAAAACTGTCTTCATGCATGGTTCTGAGTTTGGAGGTGTGTTGATACCTGAAAGAAAAATTTTGTCCCTTAGCTTCACAACAGCAGAAATTCAAGCTTTATAAATTTTATTCTTTAAAGCTCTATAACAAATGTATTATAAGGCTGTTAAACTTCAAATAACTGAATTTAAAGCATATCAGTATTCATAAAAACATAATAAATTTAAATTAATTCATAAATTTTTCTTAACTTCATGCATAATTTTGATTTTAAAGTGTGCAGTTTTTTAGCAATGAATATATATACACAATTATACCTTCTATAGTAAAAGTTCTCAGTTAGCCAGAAATATAAAATAAATACTTAAAATACATATTTAGAATGTATAAAAACAGACTTCCAAACACATTAGTGTCTCAAACAGTGTATTAAAATGAAGCATTCAAAGCAGTTACTAAATTCAGATGTTAAGCATACATAATCATCAGGTGTTTCAGTAGTTACTGGAATTTTCAGTGAATAGTAAGAGAACGATTTGAAGGATAGCAGTAAAAGACTCAGGAGAGTATTGTGAGAAAAAATTTAATTTTAAACTATACTGTGCTCAAAATTAGAAGTATGAACATGTTTTTCAAATGCCTCCAAAAAACACTCAACCCCAAACTGGAAAATATATATGATCAAGTAACAATGTTATGTAATAATGCTGGTGTCGAACATGAAATCCTAGTGGTACAAAAAAGGTGTACACAAAGGTGGTACTGTGACTGCCAGGAGTTATAAAAAGCAGTTGTTTGTTTCCCAAGCTCACTTAGCATTCCAAATTCAGGCAACAACATCCAGGCTGGCAGCATATGCTTTCACCAGCTCCTGATCAACACATCAGACTTGCCTGCATGTAACCATTAAACAGCAGACTGACTGCACTGCTCTCATATCGAGCTATTTATTACTTTAATCCCTTACAGCTTTTTACTTCCTTGATTCTGTCTATGCATTAGTATCCTAGCCTGTATTTTGACAGAGGTCAAAGTGCAGCATAAGTTTGTTATTTTCATAGAACACCCGATAGTGCAAGTGTTAATGGGATCGCATTAGGTAAAGAAGCATCCCTTGGATTTTCTAGTAAACATTTTTGTTCATGCCAAATCTTGATTTGGAAAGAAATTTACTTCTAATGAAATATCAGATTATAAGGCTGGAGTAAACAAGATTTTGGGATGTATATTTTAAACTGTCTGAAGAAAATATTTAAGTATTTTGAGGAAATTTGCAGCCACTGCTGACGTGGAAACTGATAATAATTATATACCAGAAATTCCTGATTTCAGTTTCATGAACTTAGCATCTAAATTACTATAAGTGAAGAAAAAACCAATTTCTCTTCCTTGGTAAATTGTGATATTATTAATAATTGCAACAAATGAACTCACACTTCTGTAAATAAGGAAGAGATTTTCAATTCTCACAAGTATATGATCCCTCATATGATAAATAAGGTAATGAATCAGATATCAGACCCTGCCAAGATGTTACTGTTACAGTAAGAAAATCACAAAGGCTAAAAATTCCTATACAGACGATTGCTGAATATAATGCACTAACTCTACTCAGATGAAAACCAATGCTTCTTTTACTGCCAAAGCTAAATCTACAGAATCCAAGGTGCTAAAGATGAATCTGCTGATGACAAGATCAGATTTGAATTTCCAAAATTAAATGCCAAAGTTCCTGCAGAAGTTATCATTGATTCGGGAAAAATCTTCCAAGAAATAATTACAGAATACTGAATGCATTGTTAATACAACATACAAAGATTAATTAGAAATCAGTCTCTGATGCTAAGTGCATAGAACTATAACTGCCTTCATCAACACCAAAGCCCTCAAATATCACTTTTACCTCTCTGTAATTAATAAATAAACTAGAGATGATCATTAGAAATCTACGGCAGATACTGTCATAAAAACATGTATTCAACAGATTCCCCAGCATCAATGTATAGCAAATTATCTGATGAAGGGAAGGTGAGAAAACAAAGTACCCATTACAGAAAACCCTAGCAAAACATGGAAATTATGCCATTAATATGTTGCACACATGGCAAAATCACTTTCTTTAAAATAAACTTTCTACCAAAAAAATGTGTTCAGTCTAGTTCAATTTAAGAAAGTATGTATAGCTTAAACAAACCTAAATATTGTATTTAAAAGGGGAAATTGAAACAAATGCTAACTGAAAGGACTTTTCATTGCTGTTTAATAAGTAGGTACATGACACAATTACTTTGTAAAAAGCAGTTGATTTTTTGCTCGAGACAATGACTGATGCAACTCTAACAGAAATGCAACTCTGTTACTGTGAAATTAAATACAGAACTTTGAAAAATATTTGGAAACAGATGAAAACAAGATTCCACAAGCATGAATGAACTTGCCAGCAAGGAAAAGAAAGCAGAAGCTTTGGAGTAAAATCCTAGTGAAAACACTGGGCATAGAAATGAATACAATCAATTCCATTTTATCGTATAAAGGTAACCGCTGATTTCTCTAGTTTTATGGAAAATATTCAAAATGAAGTAACTTTAAATAACAATCCTGGAATATTAATGTAAATAATAACAAAATAACATCTGGATAATATTATATTTAAATTCCAATATTTTTCTTTAAAAGCCTTGAACAGTGTAAATCTATTGTGCAAACTAATGTTCATTACCATCAACAGTAATTTTCTCTATGACAATTACCTCCAGAGAATACCAAAATCATCTGGAAATGTCGGTGGTCAATCTTATGAAGGTTCAATGCATTTTGCTTTATGCAAAACGTTTCACAGTAAGAAGCATACACTTTTTTAATGCCTCTCATAAACCCATTTTCATCATTGCTTCCCCACTGGGCGAGTGGTTATGATTGTTGAATACTGGCAGTTCGACCTGGATATGATTCCAGGTGAACGGGCTAGCTGCACTGCTGATTTTAACATGTTCTTCTCATATAATGTGAATATGAGCTAGTTTCCCTTAGAAAGGCTTCCATAGAGGCATTCCTCCCTTTAAGTAGATAGCAACTGCATGCTTTTCCATATCTGATTAACCTAAACTATAACCTTCTTTCATCATTTGGTTCAATCTGCACTGCAAAATCAAACAACTCTTGTATCTTTTACCAATTCTTTTAACTTCTAAGAACATTGCCTTTTTCACTATCACTGCTTTGACTCTCAGCTGGTTTTATAGGATGAGCTAGTCTTTCAATCATCTTTTCTCAATTAATACTTCGACTTCTCCCTCTTCCATATCTGAAAACCCTTTGCCACCAGTTGCTTATGCAATTTGTAAGAATTCTTTGACTTCACTTTCAACTAATTGAAAGCTTTTAAAATTGTTGACAACATCTGGTTAGAGCTGATGCCAGCAAGCATTCACTGTCAATGAATTTACTTGTTCCCATGCAATTTTAATAATTTATATGCAGTGGCTAAAGTGATTTGCTTCTAAAATGCCAGTAGAGTGTCATGCTTTCCTTTGTCCAGTGCTTTATTTGCAGAGTTGTAAATCTGCCTGACGCAATAAGCTTTGAATGCTTCTATGATCCCTTGATCCAATGGTAAGATTAAGAATGTGGTAAACATCTCTACGTTTAGATGCAATGTTGTGTATATATATATCCTAAAGCATTATTGTGAATTAGAATTTTAATGCTCAGGTTTTGCTGCTCAAGTAATGTTAGTTTATTAATGAATAAATTTTCAAACGAGTCATTAAAAAGGACTTTTGTAAGCCCAGCTTTTTAATTTCATTTCTACACAATGGCCAGTTCCTCAAAATGTTTACGTGATTTCAAGGAACTCCAAACTCACTTAAATTCACTTTACAATGAATGATTCAGACTACTGAACTATTCATAATTGATTCTAATATAAAATACATCAATTAGATATTCTAAATTTTATGTTCTTTAACTATTTTTTAAAAATTTTCTTACTCTTTTATACTGAGAAAATCCTCAGAAGGGGAGGAAAAAAGCTTTTACTTATGAAAGTCTCTTTAAATCAAAGAAAATAAAATTAATAATTCATATACATATTATTATATATATAGTAATTATTAATTTTATTCATCACTTCATACATACAAGTCTGTTATTGACTGGTATACAGGAAATGCCTCACACACAGGTGGTAAAATTTAGAGGCACCAAATTCAACTGCCATTATGTAAACTGGAAATGAACTGTTCAAGGATAAATACATTATCCAATAACTTTTGTCAAAAAAAAAAAAAAAAAAAAAAAAAAAAAAAAAAAAAAACCTTTTATGTCTAAGTCAAAGGCCTGTGAAACTTTAGCCTTTGGAGTTTACTTTTGGGCAAAGGCCAAAAGGCATTTTTTAAAAAGTGGTAAAAGTTGGAAAGATTTTTAGAAGCTAGTGTTTTTATTCTTTATTTTGTTTTATGGCAAACATTTCCTGTTTATTCTTTGCATCTTAAAAAAAAATCATTATTTAGGACGTTAGTGTTTTTGTTTTTATTGGGGTTTTTCTTTTTGTTTTTTCCTTTTTTTCCCCCGTGTATTGCAAATACCTCGTTTATGTTGGATAACTTTTAATATCTTTTACTTATTTTGACTAACATCAATAAATTTTGGTATCCATAATATGTTTTGTCTATTTTAGAGTTATATAGGAGTCCCCCCCCCCCACTTAGTGTTTAATTGCAAAGTCTTAGACAACTAATCAACGTTTAAATTTATATGACTGTTCTATTTTATTTACATCATCAAAAGCTGTGGGTATTTGCAGTACAAAGTCGTGCCTTTATGTAAAAAGCTCTGTTTAAATAAAAAGGCTATTTTAAAACATGTGCAAGACTTTGTCATTCTCTCTCAGACATAACGATAACTCCCAATGTCTGTTAAGGTTATAGGACTAAAGTAGCAGTACAAGATAATGTATAAGCATATGAATTCCTTAAATTTCACTTACCCCCTTTCCCTCAGTAAAGATAAAAATTAAAACCCGGGAGATACTATGATCTAGCAGATGTGATGAAAAACAAGAAAATT